TTAAAGATCATCTGGTTCCAACCCCCCTTGCCATGAGCAGGGACACCTTCCATTAGACCAGGTTCCTCAAAGCCCCATCCCACCTGGCCTTGAACACTTCCAGGGAGGGGGCATCCACAACTTCTCTGGGCAACCTGTTCCACTGCCTCACCACTCTCATAGTGAAGAATTTCTTTCTTATATCTAATCTAAATCAACACTCTTTATAAAGCCGTTGCCTCTTGTCCTATCCTTCAATGCTCTTCTAAAAAGTTCCTCTTCATCTTTCTTGTAGGCCCTTTTCAGGTACTGGAAGGCAGCTCTAAGGTCTCCCCGGAGCCTCCTCCTCTGCAGGCTGAAGAGCCCCAGGGACTCTCTCAGCCTTTCCTTGTAGGAGAGGTGTTCCATCCCTCTGATCCTCTCTGTGGCCTCCTCTGGACCCACTCCAAGGAATGGATGCTCACAGTGCTGAGACAGAAGTCCTTGCTATCCTGGTGCTCAGTCAGGCCTGGAAATTGGCCAGAGAAGGATTACTTTGCACCACTTGCAATCTCTTAGTTCCATTGTCCTTCCTGTCAGCACAGCTATCAGTACTCATAAGTTTTCAACAGGAAGGAAGCAGAAATCTTGAGGACTTCTGCCTTAAAAAAAATTTCTCACACATGGTATGGATACCATAACAGAATAAACAACAATAAAAAAACCCCATGGCTATTGTAGTCAGTTGGGTGAATTAGGAGCAAAAAATTCAAAAAACGATATCACAAGTAGATTTAATCAATGATCATGCCATGTTCCTATTCACCTATTGCGGTAGGGCATGAACTAGTGCTGCAGAGCCCAGAGCAGATACCTTGTTCCCCTTGGCAACCTCAACCAGCACCAATCAGAGCTCACGAAAGGGACTGGCCAAAAGTCTTCCTGAAAGGGAAGAGGCAGTCCGGGGTATTTCTGTGACAGATTGAGTAGATTTTTCTCAAAGAAATCTGTCCTAACTTATTGATTCCTTTTCCTCACTGAACAGGTGCCCATGCTCAGAGAGACCAAATGTCCAATAGCAGCTCCATCACAGACTTCCTCCTCCTGGTATTCACAGTCACATGGGAGCTGCAGCTCTTGCACTTCTGGCTCTTCCTCAGCATCTACCTGGCTGCCCTCCTGGGCAATGGCCTCATCATCATGGCCATAGCCTGCGACCACCGCCTCCAAACCCCCATGTACTTCTTCCTCCTCAACCTCTCCCTCCTCGACCTGGGCTCCATCTCCACCACTCTTCCCAAATCCATGGCCAATGCCCTCTGGGACACCAGGGCCATGTCCTTCTTGGGATGTGCTGCTCAGCTTTTTTGCATTTATTTTTTGATGTCAGCCGAGTATTGTCTTCTCACCATCATGGCCTACGACCGCTATGTTGCCATCTGCAGACCCCTGCACTATGGGACCCTCCTGTGCAGCAGAGCTTGTGTCCACATGGCGGCAGCGCACGGCCAATACATTTTCACTACCGCTCTGCAATGGCAATTCTGTGGACCAGTTCTTCTGTGAAATCCCCGAAATTCTGAAACTCATCTGCTCACATTCCTACCTCAGGGAAGCTGGGCTTATCGTGTTTAGTGCCTGTCTAGTTGCGGGGTGTTTTGTTTTCATTGTGCTGTCCTATGTGCAGATCTTCAGGGCTGTGCTGAGGATGACCTCTCAGCAGGGACAGCACAAAGCCTTTTCCACGTGCCTCCCTCACGTGGCCGTGGTCTCCCTGTTTATCAGCACTGGTACATTTGCCCACCTGAAGCCCCCGTCCTTCTCCTCCCCAACCCTGGACCTGGTGGTGGTAGTGCTGTACTCAGTGGTGCCTCCAGCACTGAACCCCCTCATCTACAGCATGAGGAACCTGGAGCTCATGGACACACTGAAGAAGCTGATGCAATCACTAGTGCCTCAGCAGCGATAAGCTACCTGTGTCTTTTCACAAGTGATTTCCAGTGCATCTCAAAACCTCCTGTGCTTTTGGCATTTCATTTGTGATAATCCTGTTTGCCCAGGAATGTCTGCAAACACTCCACTTCTCCAGGGGCATGAACCCAGCCTGTCTGGCCCAGAGACCTGTTCTCATGTGTATGGCATGGTGATGCAGTTGGTCTCTCATGTCGCATCTCTGTAATAAAATGGGATTTCCTCAGTGCATATGTATGGAGATTGGGCTCTTCTGACAAAGCTGAGGTCAGGAACAGGCTGAAGAAATTACCTCTATGAGGCTGTGCTGCTGTGCTTGGGTTCTCCATGGGCTGAGAGAAGGAGGACATGGGGCAATGTGTTAGGGCATGGGCCTGGTCTGAGCCTTCATGGGTGGGTGCCCAATGCCCCTGGAGATTGTGAGTGATGCACAGGGATCTGCCTGGGACTTTCTCCCCATGGCTTTCAGACACCACAGCTCGCTTGCTCTGCAGAGCAGCACCACCAGCTCGGGGCCCGGAAGGAAGAACAGGGAGGGGGCAGGAATTTCCAGCCAGGCCAGCACAGACACTGTCCCCTGAAGAAAGGCTGTTTGGAAGCAGGGATGTCAAGAGGCCACCAAGGAACAACTCTGTTTATCAGGGGTTGGGGGGAGTATATAACAAAGGAAAACCTGTTTCTGCAGTCTCCAGCACAGGGCAGGCTGCTGTGTAGATGGAATAGCAGGAGGAAGCTGGGGAGCCCCCAGGCCAGGAGCCTTGTGTAGGGGAGAGGGACTGGCACAGAGGGGCTGCTGGCAGCAGGATAGAAGGATCTTTTAGAGGCAAGAGCAGGAGACACAGGGAGATGGGACTGGTCTCTGTCTCCTCATGCCATGGCTGGCCCCAGTGCTGGGGCTGATGGAAGGCTGACCCACTTCTGTGCCCCCTGGGAGCTGCTTTGCCCTTCAGAGGTGCTGGGGCTGTAGTGTGAGTGCCCGGAGCCCTGTTACACGTTGTGGTGGGCCCTGCCATGGGGCCAGCCTAGACTGGGCTTCTGGGCTGGGTTGGACTAGGGAGAGGGTAGGTGGACTCGGGAGAGCTGGGCTATGATGTAAAGTGCCTGGGAGAGAAAAGCATCAGTGCATAGCTTGTACTGTTTGACCAGGCAGGATTTGGACTCACAGGAGAGGGTTTGTGTTGTAGAGTCAGGGCTCACAGATGGGAACTGAGACATGCAGGTGCAAGACATAGACTTAGTAGTGTTAGGTTAACGACTGGACTCAGTGATCTTAAAGGTCTTTTCCAAGGTCAATGATTCCACGATTCTATGATTCTGTATCCACTGGTTGTTTTGAAATAGAAAGGTTATGATTTTAACAACCACTTAGTATTCTATTTTTTCCTTTGTTAAGAAGAAAATAGGAGTCTTCTAGCATTTTAAAGAAATTAATTTGGGATTTGATAGATGTTGTCACTTAAAAGCACAATGCTACTTACATTTTAGTGGTTAATGTAACTTCAGTGTTCACTTGTATGTCGTCTTTTCTAAAGTTGAACTGCAGCCACATTTTCCATTCGCAATGCTGTTAATGAGTACTATATACGGATGTCTTGCGCCAAGGATAGCTTTTGGGTTCATGTCCTGCCCTAGTGGCAAGGTAAATGACCTATGTGGTTTTGCTGTCGAGGCTGACCATAAGAAACGAGCCCAGTCTGTGCCCTTGGTGGCAAGGACGGACCGGGAAGGTGACCAAAAGCCTCCATCACCCCCAGCCTCTCTCACTGGCCGTTTCCAGCACTGCCTGCTCACCACAAGTTTATGGATGATTCGTGCTGTGAGGCCATCTCCACCCTCCTGCTGGGTTCAGTGCCTGTTTCAGGGGAATGACCAGCTGTGCCAATCCTGTCTCCTTGCCCAGAACCTTGCAGACCCTGGAGCAGGGGAGTCTTTAAAGCCCCATGTGGGACATCACTTGGGCTGGCAAAGAGTCAGTGCTGGGGGAGGCTGCAAAAGGCGGAGGGTTATGTGGGGACAGTGAACTGCGGGTTGTCTTTGAGGTCATGGTGGGGGGAATTTTCCCAACCCCTGAACTTACACTTTTCTAGGCTGTACCTGCACAGGGGGGTTACGGGACCATTTGTGGGCAGCAGGGCAGCACAGGGCCAGGGCGATGACAGGCGCCATGAAGCAGCTGCCAGGAAGTGACAGAAAGCACAAGCTATCCAAAAGGAATTTCTAGATATTGCCTTTATTATGGAGGTCTGTTTGAAGGAAAGGATAAACTCATGCAGAACTGGTGGCTGACAGGGAAGTCAAGAGCAAAACGAAGAGAGTGGATCGCTGCTGAGAGACCACATACGGAGAGGGAAAATGCTGGCAAGCTGATGAATGGGGATGGTGATTTAATAAATACTAAATGCTGAGAGGCAAGTTACATAGAGAAAGGAAAACACAGGTGAAGCTGTATCATCTGGACTCACAAATTGCCTGTCAGTAAAGAGAAAGTCCCACAGCCTGTGGGATATTTGACTCAGGTGGTCCCATAGGTTGGGCTTCTTGGCTCGGGCCTGCTGCAATGACATTCCTGCAAGGGAGGAAGTTCCAGTTCAGGCATCAAACTTTTGCCCATCCTGCCTGGAGAGCCAGCACAGTTGTGTCACAGAATAGCCATTGTCAGAGGGAAGATGGAGGTAGTGCGAATGGAAGTCGTTTGAGCTCACATGGAAGCTCAGATTATGAGCTGGCAGGCCAACATTGGCTGCAGTTGGAGAAAAATCACCTGACACACCTGTGAGTTTAGAACTAGATGGTAGAGTTGCTCATACAGCTCAGGTAGGAGGGCAGGGTGCCAGGGAGAGGGGAGCATGCTTCATTTTCCCAAATCCCATGACTGTGCCCAAACCGTCCTTCCCTTGCCCTGTGCCATCCCATTTCCTGAGATGCAAGCCTGGTGGGTCGTCTATCAAGAATCCTCCAAGAATCCTTCAGGTGTTTGTGTGGTTTCTCTAAGAGTATCAGTATTTACCAAAAACGGTGTTAATCTGGGAAAAATATATGTCTGCAACATAGCAGTGCACATCTGTGGCAGCCCCTCTGAGCAATTCCAACTGAATCAGTGTTTGCAATACAAGGCATGAAACCCTATTCATTAGTACACTCCTAAAGCAGCCCAGATGAAGGGTGGTCTTGCAAAGGTCTTATCTTAAACCTTACACTAACCCTCCCCCAACCCTAGCTCTATCCCAGCAGTAATCATAAGCCTCAACTCCAACCATAACCCTCATCCAAACCTTTACCTAACCCTAAACAAACACCAACCTCAACCTGAAGCCTAACCCTAAATCAGCTGGAACCATGACTCGGAATCTAACCCTAATCCTAGCTCTAACTCCAATTCTAAAGCAAACCTGAACCCAAACCCTAATCAACCTAACAGGTATCTGAAAGTATCTTGCCAGGCCACCAGCATCTGCGTAACGACACCTGTAATATCATATCAGGCAATGATTACCATGGTAACAACTTTAGGAAAAAAAAAATTCGGACATTTGGGATGGAGAGATGAGCATCCTGGTGTGGTCCTGTCAGTGCTGGGTCAAGGCCTGGCAGCGTGAGCAGCTGCCCTCTGCTTCCTCATGAACTGGAGGCTGTAGGCACTGCTGTTTGTCACCCAAACCAGACTCATGGGTCAGATGAACCATTTGGTACCTCTCACATACTATAGCCATTGTTTCTCTGTCCACTCTAGTAAGACCTTAGCTATCCAGATATCCAGGCTGTGGGTGGGATGTTTAGAATCACAGAATCATAGCACGCTTTGGGTTGGAAGGGACATTTAGAGGTCATCTAGCCCAACCTCCCTGCAGTGAGCACGGACATCTTCAACTAGATCAGGTTACTCAGTTTTCCAGCTTCCTGATTGCCTTTTTTGTTTGGTTTGGTTTTCCTTCCAGCAACCTGTGCCAGTGTTTCACCACCCTCACTGTAAAAAAATTCTTCCTTCTATCTGGTCTAAATCTACTGTCCCATAGTTTAAAACCATTACTCCTTTTGTCCTCTATTTCTTGTGCAATGACCTCCTGGAGAAGCTCTGCTGACCCCAGTGTCTTTCCGTATTTAGAATCCTACAGCTCTGACAGGAGGAAATCCCCCTGCAGTGCCTGGATTTGTCCAAGCCACAGCACTTCACAGTCTTTCTGATGTCTGGGACTTTTGGTTCCGGTGGGAGATGATCTTCTGGTCTTCATCCTGAATTTCTGGGTAACCCTAAAGGACAGGCTAGAGGCTGTAGAGTTACACCTAGGGTTTCAGAGCGAGAAATCAGGGAGTGCATTAACCTTACACAACAGCAAGAGAACTTTCCTATGGAGCGGTTACATGTGCTATTGGCTATAAAACCACCAAGGCTAACTGGGTCAGACTCAGTGAATTATTCTTTTGAAATTGGGGTCAAATTATTCTGTACAAATACAGAGATCTGCAGTGTAGTGACATGAGACAGTCCGTTTTTCCTTCCCGTGCCTATGTCTCAAGCCCAGGGTTCCTGTCCAGGCCCTTTCTGGATGTGAACCAGCATGCAGACATCACAAGCTGTCAGAGTTCAACCTCTCAGCGCTACTTCTGTCCTGAGGATTATGCAGGGCACAGGCACGGGTTGGGACCCAGAGAGGTGGAGGTACAGAGAAGCCTCTTCTGTTGCTGCACAGTGATGTTAAGCACAGATTGTGCTTTTTATTTCTGCTTCCCTCCTTGACTTTTTTGTTTGGTTTGCTCTTCATTCCACAAGTTTGGTCCTTTTCCTTTGAGCAGCTAAACCCCACATCTCGCTTTTTCTGCTTTTCAAAGACCTGTAGTTTTGCTGGAAGTTGCTAGTCAGGCTAACACCCGTGATACTGCCAGTCTTGCTAAAATTGTTCAGGGTACCAAGGAGGCCCAGGTCCAGGTCCAGGTCTAGGGAGGAGCACTGGCAGCACCAGTGTCTCCACATTCTCTCCTGAGGCTGCTTACTAAATGTCT